AACTGCAAGTTTATATTACAGGGAAACAAATGTGTGCTCATCGTTGTACCTTTGGAAAATCCGGAGCCGCAGCGAGAGAAGAAATCGCCCATCCTTCACCCCCCGCGGCAGCCTCGGCTGGCGGTCCAGGCCGTTCCGTCCCGCTGGCTTTCCCTTCCGAGCATTTCTACACCCGGCTGAGCTCATGCTGCATGTGCAGGCTCATATCCTGCTTTTCCAACGATGGGCTTTTTGGGTTACACAACTAACACAGGAATACAGATTTTTTAAAATTTCTTAATAAGATACATGTTCAAAATACAGAAGTAGATCAAGGAAAAAGTAAAAGAAATACATGTTCCCCAGGGTGCCACCCGCCCCAGAGGTGGCCTCTGCCAGCAGTGGGGACCCCTCCCCCCACCTCTGTGTCCGGCTGTCTGCCTGCCAGCCTGCCTGTCAACATTCTTTCTTTTCTTTTTCCATCATTGAGACCCAACTGTATGGGGCCCTTTGGGGTTTCTTTTTCCAGCTGATATCTTGGAGCTGTTCTTCGATACCTCATAGGATTAGCAAAACAGTAACCACAGCTAGCATTGCAGCAGCTCGGAGTCCGGGCCGGCCCCGCCCGGAACGCTTGGGCTGTGTTAAGGTGCGAGGTGTGCTAAAGGGCCTGTGGGCTCCATGGGTTCCAATCCAAGCTTCATCGTTTCTCAGCTGTGAGATCTCGGGCTTAACCTCTCTGTGCCTCAGTGTCTCCCCCCAAAGAATGGGTCGGACAATGTGACCTGCCCCACAGGGATGTCCAGAGGGAACATTCTTACCTAAAAGGCACCTCGAGGCGTGTCTAGCGCATAGTAAATGCTGTTTTAGTTTTTCCTCCTCCTCAGACATGGAGGCTGGAGCACAGAGAGGTTAGGTAACTTGTCCAGGTGCAGCCCCACACCCGTGGCCACAGCCCTGCCCTGCGCGGCCTCTCCACGTCCCTGCCGCCCGGCATTCCTGAGGAGGCCGTTGCATTGACCAGGCGCCGTTGTCACGGTTTCAAATAAGGCTGCCCGGAGAGCCCCCTGCACACGCCTGGTCACGTGTGCATCTGGGAGACAGGCTTCCGGGATGGAACTGCTGACTCAAACGGGACCCGCTATGCGAGCCTCACGCCCATGTCCTGCAGACCCGTGAGCAGCCGCGTCGAGGGCTGCATCCCATTCTCTTCTCTGGATGGGCCCTGGTCCACGTCCCCGTCTCCATGAGGAATCGGGGTTCCCTTTTAAGATGAGCTCACTTGAAGTGTTGCTTCCAGCTGCCCTTTCTCTACGTGGCAACCTCGGTCCTAGCATTCTTCTCAGGGAAATGCCTGCGTTTCTGTCGTTTATGGGGACCCCACCACCACCACTTGGACCCTCTCAGGACAAGCAGTTGGCATGCGCCTGCCCATTCTCCAGGCTGGGAAGCTGAGTCACAGAGGTGGTGGAGTCACACTGGAGTCGAGGACCAGGACTGCCCAGGTTTCCCATCTAGTGTACTGAGCAACCCCAGAAAGTGCCTGAGCCCCTGCAGGGCGGGCCTGGAGGAACAGGCATGGGGGTAAAGGAAGGTGTGAATGAGTGACTGAATGAAGAATGAGGAATGAATGAATGAATGAGCCGGTTTAACCAGGGAACCCAGAGGCTGACTGAGGTACAGGAAGTGCTGAGCTCATTAAGCACTTGCCACTCCTGGGCATGAGACCCTGTCTGAGCGTTTTCGATACGGATGAGCTGTGTGAGCCTCGTGATTCCCCAAGGAAGGCTGCATTGTCACCCCATTTCCCAAGAAAGAAACGGAGGCCTAGACAGATGAAGAGCCACTGCCAGGGTGGGTGGTGGGTAAAGGCCAGCAGGGTCAGGCCTCAGACCTCCTCCTCACCCTGACCCTCTGCTGCCTGCCGCAGCCTCCACCTAGCAGTGTCACCCCTGCACCCCACAGTCCCCCATCACTGGCCCCATTAGCTGCTGCCCCCCTGCACCCCACAGTCCTCCATCCCTGGCCCCATTAGCTGCTGCCTCCCCATTTCTTTCCCCTCGTCCTTTCCAGC